TAAACCTCCAATCCCCCTTTTAATTTCTCACCATGACTAACAGTAAACATGGTAAACTGATAACTCATATGCGTGTAAATTAGTGTGTAAACTGTACGTTCTGATGCGAATCACGATGCACACAATCCGATACATATCACAATACCTTGCTCACGATCTGATATGTATCACGATACTTGCATGTATTCTTATCTGTGGTGCGTAAGCCATCTTTTTCATAGACAAGATGGCCAAATACCTGGCCCACTAACGATTTACATTTGAAAATTATTTGAAATGGTGGGTTATTAAGAATTTTATGATTTTGTTTATTTGTTTGTTAAACACTGCACTCAGTAATCTAGTGATTGATATCATGAGCATCGATGGCCGCAATTGGGATACGATGACATGCATCAACCAAGTCAGCGAGCCTGACCACCAGATCCTGTTAGTCGTCTCTTACGGCAAGTAACATAAATTACATATTTACCCTTCTAATCACTCCAATGTTAGATGAACTTAGTTTATTGATATCATTCCTTACGTTCACCCTCATATGGATTATGATTTCTTACACAAGGTGAGATGAAATGAGTGAGTGAGTTGGGTTTAATGCCGCTTTTAACAGTATTCCAGTTATAATACAGCATGTCAGCTTAATCATGTTAATGTGGGAGGAAAGCCTGAAGTGATGCAGGTCTCATAGGTTTGTGGCGTGCCCAAGGAACGCAACTCTGCACAGCGAATCGCAGCGCCTTAGAGGACTGGGCCACCCGTGACCCCTGAGTTGAAATGAAGCATAACAACATGCTAAAGAGTACTGCCCTCATCATGCTCATACAGCAATATGTAATGAATTCAGGTATATGTGTGTGTGTGGCTGCTGGTACTAGTCCAGATTTATTCCGTTTTTATAGTGCTAGCCCACAAAGATACCATACCATGGCATAACATGAATTCCCAACTCAAACACAGTATACTGAATCCAAGCTGTTCAGCCCTTGTTTTAGACTTAGCCCCTTAATGCGAGCACCAGACAGGGTAACAAGTACCATCTATTTATCATCTTTCGAGATGACGCGCTCAGGGGATCAAACCACCGACCTTCCACTCTCCTGGCAGACCCTCTATCCACTAGACCTTGTGTCTACACAAACGGTGTGTCCAAGTATTAGTGTTTTAAGCATGAAAGTAAACATGGTCAAAGGTCCTATTGTTACAAAAATAAAAACATAAGGGGCCCTAAAATCAATACTATAGGCATGAGGGGGCACGGGTGGCCCAGTCGTCTAAGGCGCCGCGATTCGCTGTGCAGAGTTGCGTCCCACAGGAACTACAGAAACCTATGACAGTGGGTTCGAATCCTGGTTCGCCCCGATTATGTTTCTAGGTTTGTCAGCACCATACCCATGCTCGTGGTTTCACCGAAGTGGTAAATGTCTGAGACCTTCATCACTTCGCGCTTTCCTCCCACATCATGCCCATTAAGCTGACATGCCGTGATATGACTCGAATACTGTTAAAAGCGGCGTTAAACCCAACTCACTCACTCACTATAGGCATGATGGCAGCATACCCTCAGGGCCCAGGATTAACATCATTTTGAACACTCCCTTATCATGATAAATAGTAATACAGAGATAGAACTTAACGCTTTATTAGCCTGGGTAAAAGCAAACTGCCCTTGTTACATGTGTAATGTTCAAACCATGGGGAAATTGGGAATTTGTACTAGCTCAAAGCTTTATTAGCCCAGGTAAAGACAAAAAGCCCTTGTAATGTTATCACGGTTAAAACAATGGGGAAATTGGGAATTTGTACTAGTCCGCTGGAATTTGTACATGCCCCAGGCTAGCGGGCTAGTATTAAGTTGTAACCCTGTAATATAAATGTATAGTTCATGTTCATTGATACCTACAGCGTTAGAAATTGGCACTGGTCCTGTAGTCCTTGCCAAACTGACAAAAGTTAAGGTTTCATGAGGAATAGTAGAAATTTGCCATTTTTAAGGGTTTTGCTCTATGTTAACATTATAAGGACTAGTAGTCTAAAACAGTTAGTTTCTACCGCTGACCTACGCAGAAAGCTGAACACTACTCAGCCTTAATTAAGTGCCAATAGTTTCCTTATGTGTGCAAAACAATGACTCAAAATGAGGGTGGTGACATCAACAAACTGATAAATACACGTCAGGTCCAACACAGGTATGTACAACGTTACATAACAGGGATCAACATCACCCAGTAATTAGTCCTGCCTGTCCAGCTCCCACAGCCAGTGTTTGATAATCACATTATGCTGATACAGCAATTTCCGACAAGGCTAATCCATCAAGAGATTAGCAGCAATAAGTTACCCTTGTTCCTTAAGACTATCAGCAAACCATGCAGATTAAAGCTATATGCTAGATCTTACATCATGACCACAAAACATTAGTGACTGGTGTCAATGGTATTTCTGTAACTATGTAAGTAGGATATTACTTGTTTAATGATTTGCTATCACTAAATGTGCCAAATTTCATAAATGTGGAATAAAAGATTAATTACTTGAAAAACAGCTTATTTTTCTGTCAGGTAACAAATTTGAGCAATAAACATATCCCTTGTGTAATTCCTTGATTCCTGTGAAGATCAGGGTCAGAATAAGTCTTCAGCAACCCATGCTTGCCACAAGAGGTGACTATGCTTGTCGTAAGAGGCGACTAACAAGATCGGGTGGTCAGGCTCGCGGACTTAATTGATGCACGTCATCGTCCAACTGTGTGGATCGATACTCATGATATCAATCACTGGATTGTCTAGTCCAGACTTAATTATTTACCCACAAGTTTGATATAAGAGGCCAGTTCAATTATCCCTGAACAGAAGTAAATGACACTAAATTTCTGAGCAACAAAGGTTCCCTGACCACACTGTAGGGATTCTGTTCACCCAGCAGTGAATGGGTACCTGGTAGGATGAGAAGGTAATGTGACTGTTATCCTAGCGCCTCACAGGCAGCTTGGTTTGTATACTTCCATAGGAGCTGAGAATGAAAATCGAGTACACACTGATCCACTGCCTGGGGTAACGATAACGTAATGCCATGAGATTTCACTTGCTTGGAATTTGGTTCCTGACAAATTTATAAAATTTAATAGCAAGAAATCTAAAAATATGGTCAAACCTGTGAGAGATCTTGAAAGACAAGCATAAGTTATACTGTTACCATAAATGATTGATTATTTCTTGTCCAAATGCGCAATTTTGAATGTCCATTGAGTGAGTGAGTGAATGTCTTATGATACAATAGTTAATGTCAACAATATTCTTCCTACATCGCTGAACTGCACTAACCACGCTAACAAAAGCATAGTTTAAGATGCGGATGATAGCAGTCAACGTGAGTGAATACCTACTCATGCTGATGATCTCTGACAACTCCAGGGATCCATACTATACAATGTATCCATCCTCCAAAAGGCTCCAATTACTTTTGATAAAATAATGAAAAATAAAAAAACTCCTTTTTTAAAGATAATCAGGTGTGTCAATCACAGCATCATAGCATTTGTGTCCAGAGTTAAGCAGGAAGTTGATTATTGTTGGTTGCCCTAGTCAGTCACGCAGGGATGCACCGACATTGTTGGTTGCCCTAGTCAGTCAGGCAGGGGATGCACCGACATTGTTGGTTGCCCTAGTCAGTCAGGCAGGGGATGCACTGACATTGTGGGTTGCCCTAGTCAATCAGGCAGGGGATGCACCGACATTGTGGGTTGCCCTAGTCAATCAGGCAGGGGAGCACCGACATTGTTGGTTGCCCTAGTCAGTCAGGCAGGGGATGCACTGACATTGTGGGTTGCCCTAGTCAATCAGGCAGGGGATGCACCGACATTGTTGGTTGCCCTAGTCAATCAGGCAGGGGAGCACCGACATTGTTGGTTGCCCTAGTCAGTCAGGCAGGGGATGCACTGACATTGTGGGTTGCCCTAGTCAATCAGGCAGGGGATGCACCGACATTGTTGGTTGCCCTAGTCAATCAGGCAGGGGATGCACCGACATTGTTGGTTGCCCTAGTCAATCAGGCAGGGGATGCACCGACATTGTGGGTTGCCCTAGTCAATCAGGCAGGGGATGCACTGACATTGTTGGTTGCCCTAGTCAGTCACGCAGGGGATGCACCGACATTGTTGGTTGCCCTAGTCAGTCAGGCAGGGGATGCACCGACATTGTTGGTTGCCCTAGTCAATCAGGCAGGGATGCACCGACATTGTTGGTTGCCCTAGTCAATCACGCAGGGGATGCACCGACATTGTTGGATCACAGATGTTATGATTGTTTTTCCATTAACACTTTTGACAGAGAAATACTATTGCATGTTGAAAATTTGTCACACATATTCCGACATGTATACTAGTTATGTAACAATACGTCAAATACAGAATTGTATCACGATATCCAAATATCCAAATCTTCACTCTCAGAGTGAGTGAGTATGGTTTTACAACACTTTCAGCAATATCACAGCAGGGGTCAGTAGAAATGGACTTCACACTTTGTTCCCATGTGGGGAATCCAAACCGGGTCTTCGGCATGATGAGCAAACACTTTATCTACTCGGATACCCCACCATCCCTTTCGCTCTCAAAAATTTAAAAACAAATAATACAGGGTTGTGATTCACCAGCAAAAAATAAAAAAATAAAAAATATCAACTAATAAATAAAAGTATTATGTATCAGGATACATATTGCATCACACCCATAGTGCCGGGATATGTATCGTACTGCGGCCCCAGTTTATCGTTATACCTAATGTACACATCTCAAATTAATTGGGTAATTGTGTCTCCTGCGTATTAAAGACATACAGCTCATGAGCAGCTCTGGTTCAACATAAAGGAAAACATTGAATATCCTAGGACCTTAGGAAAGTCACCTCCATATCTTCTCCTGTCACTTAGCTATATTTCCACTGAAAACAAACACATGTAACTATGTATGTAAGCATGGTAATTATGTAAAGTGTTATACATACCTCAAAGTATACTACAGCAGCCTTGCTTTTCCTTAACTGGGCTTGTATTCATCTCTCGAACAATTTCAATAAAAACTTCATTGACATTTTGTGTACTTTTTGCTGATGTTTCAAGAAACGGGCAGCCCCAGTACTGAGCCAGAGTCGATCCCTCCGGAGAAGGGACCTCACGTTGATGTTCCAAGTCAGCTTTGTTCCCGACTAAAATCATGGGTATTTTGTCCACCCCTTTCACTCTCTGAATTTGTTCTCTCATTGTTTTAATATCCTGGAAAGTCTGGAGACTGGTAATGCTGTAGACGATCACAAATCCTTGTCCATTCTTTATATACAAATCACGCATTGATGCAAACTGCTCTGTGCCCGCTGTGTCTAATATTTCTAAAACAGATGGTGCTGAATCCACTTCGATCTCTTTCCGATAAAAATCCTCAATCGTCGGATCATACTTCTCCATAAAATTACCGGACACAAATTTGACTGTGAGAGCACTTTTCCCCACACCTCCACTCCCCAACACGACTACCTTATACTCCTTCATGATGTAGGCCTAGCCTTCCCTCAAAGTGAGGATTTGTGAATTATAACAACAATTCTCACAATCCTACTTAATGGAGTAAGATATGATATTTCTTTAATGATTCCCAATTCACACTGATTGTGTTAAGAAGCTAAAACACACGACAGCCACTCCTCGGACGCAATGACAGTTTCTCATCAGTTAGCCATGTCCTGTGTTCACGAAACTCCAGCTTCCGGAAAATGTTTTTGGGTCAAACTCGCTTCATCCACCACAATGACCGGCAGATTTTCTTTGTTTTTACGTATCAAACACTTGTGAACTTTGATACCATGTCTTACAACCCAAGGCAAACCGGGAAAGCTTACACGAGTAGATTTCGCTGGTTGGTCAAATCTAGGTCTGACCCAGTCAGAAACCACTGTCTGCTCGTCTGTCTACAAATATTGTCGTGATTTCGAGGCAGAAAAGGACATAAAATTCCCCAATCCACCACTAGATCAAGAGCCAGATAACGGAGACAATGTGATTCACCTGCAATGGACATAAATATTGATCAAGTTCTGGACGCACAATCGCGTGAAATACACCAGTCAAAACATTCAGTGCACTGACAAATCCCTTACCGTCGCCATTTTGGGTGGGCCATTCATAGAACACTTTGCTGACTCTGGGATAGGAGAGTTAGCTTAGCATGACTACCGGTTCTCATAGCGCCCGTCCCTCTAAACCACTAGTGGTATACCCTAATCTCAGGTTACATATTAGAACATACGCCATATTGGGGACAACAAAACGAGTAAACGATACATGTAATTATTTCTTCTGCATTTTCCGTAGACACATTTCCAATCGAAAGACACTAGTGTATCCAAACGATGCTACTGTGGGTTTCTCTTACAAATTCATATGTTTCGGGCTACGCGTTCGTATCAATGATAATTCATGTTCGTGGCTATGGTTTCAGAAAGTACTGTTTTGTTTTGTTTTTTCTTCTCGAAAAATAGCATACGCGACATATTTCGGCATTATTTGTTTTCATTAACCGTATGGATATCAGTTGTTGTGAACAGGATACTTTCACGGTGTACGTAGAAACTGGAGTATGAGAAATAATTTTTACAGTTGTTGGAAAATATTTATCTTTATCTCAAAGTAATATCTAGTCATAATCATATCACAAGTTGACTTGTAATCACAACGCGTAATGTCATTGTGGATTATGTTTACCAGCAGCTTATACGGCTGTAACGTCAATCGGGTACCTGTCAGTGACGTCATAGACCGTAGACATCTATGACGTCATAATCTCATGACGTAAAAAAGCCACTTTGTGTAGGTTTATGTTTCAAGTCACGTTGTCAAGTCGATTTTAATTAGTTCAAATGTCTTTTAGGGACTTTCGTTCGTATCAATATTGACTCTGTCAGTGATACACGGAAAATAGTCGCCTGCTTAGATATATGCCTACTTGCTGTATAACTGTACATGTCAATCCCTGTTGGTTATCCAGTTCGACCTATGCTTGGCGTTAAACAATAACAAACAATTATCAAGTGTATTATATTCCCGTTCTTTTGTGATAACCATCATGAAAGAATGGTGATATATATACGCTAGAGATATTCTACATTGGATAACAAATATCCATTGTTGCGAATGTTGACAGATTCGGAAAAGCTTACTCTGCTAACGCCTGTTTTATGCATTGTTATACGACAAGGACATTGTACCAGCCTATGACAGGGACCTATATGCTTACTGGGGTGTTGCTATTCACCGATATATAAATGCATCGCGAAATTTTCACACTTCGACACGATACGCCTATACCCAAATACACCGAATCATGTCTTTACTCTGTATTAATTTTCCAAAATTAATAACGTTAGTCACTGCCTATCACGAAATATTATGATGGTTGGTTGGTTGTGATTGTTGTTTAACGCCGCACTCAGCAATATTACAGCTATATGACGGCGGTCTGTAAATAATCGAGTCTGGACCAGACAATCCAGTGATTGATATCATGAGCATCGATCCACGTAATTGGGATCGATGGCATGCATCAACCAAGTCAGCGAGCCTGACCACCCGATCCCGTTAGTCGCCTTTCACGACAAGCATAGTCGCTTTTTACGGCAAGCATGGGTTGCTGAAGACCTATTCTACCCCGGAATCTTCACGGGTCGAAATTTTATGATATATCTGATAGCATATAGTAATATATTCGAACGAATCTAAAATTACCAGCAATGCAAGTTATGCACGAACTTGTTGACATCTTGTCATCCGCACTGAACATGGAGAATTTCACACAAAATCAGAGAATATTTACTGTCCGAAGACCTCAGTACATTTGGGTTCCAATGGCAAGTGACGCATGTCATCGTATCTCAATTGCGTTGATCGATGCTCATGGTGTCAGTCACTGGTTGTCTGGTCCAGACTCGATTATTTTCATACCGCCGTCATATAGCTGGACTATTGCTGAGTGCGGCGTTAAACAACAAACAAACAATTGCGAAACGCCTTGTCATTCAGAGCTAATGTTTCTCTGGTTCCAAGAAATTTAAAACTTTCTATACAGTATGTATAACTTGAACTAGTGTCTAGTGTAACTTCTCAAAATTTGAAAAATAAATATGTTCATTAAGTCATTTTGGATACTTGATGAAAACCCTCCTCACCAAATGAATTACAGAACCAAACACATCCAAAACACCAAAAATACCATGTCTTATCGCATATCGTGAGGTTCAGGTGTATCGTGACACCACTAACGATTATAGTACGCTTCACGACTCCAAGAATAACCCCAGTTACCGTAAACTGTTGAATCGGCGCCCGGTTCGCCTTACAGTCAGTGAGTGAGTATGGTTTTACTGCCGCTTTTAGCAATATTCCAGTAAGATCACGGCCGGGGACACCAGAAATGGGCTTCACACATTGAATCATTCGACGCATCGAGCGTACGCATTAACCACTACGCTACCGCAATGCCCCTCCCTACAGTCGCTCCTTCCCTTGACGTACCCCCACCCTACTATTCTAACCAGGAATCCCAAAGCGGTTTTAGAGTAACACTTCTTGTTTTTATTGATGGTAGTTTTATTACCAATTAAATAATTGCGTAAACGCTACCATACGAAGAACATTGATTGACGTCAAGCTATACAGTGACGTTTGTGGGAATCAGACTGATGATGATTATTAATGGTAACCTCAATATGATAAATTTTGTTCAGCTATTACTCAATAATGACCATCTTTCAATAACCATGATCCTAATTTTGATTTTAGATGCTACATTAAGCCTGTAATAAAAAATACTATCAACTGTACTTTCCAAATTGTGTCGGAGAAACTTTATGAAATTTGACCGTCAATATTGGGTACCGGTTCTTTGGTGATAGCGGGGGAGTTACTTTTGGACTAAACGCCACCTTGAACGGTGTTGTAGACCTATTACCACAATGGAGGGGCTCTAGATTCAGAATCGCTATAGTTCTCATGGACGCCACTCTACACACACAGAAATGCATGACTAAAGACAAGTGGTCAGTGATTCACAATGCATTACGACTATGAGGCGGTATTTTACTATTTATTCTTTTTTTTAGGCGGTGGGAGGCATACACTTTGTAGCTCATTTGGGAAGGGTGGGGGATGTAGTCCCATCGCTCTTGTCATAATGGCACTGATTCAATATCTTCACGAAAGACAAGTCAAAAGACAAAACTAAAAGCAAATTATTAAATCTGAAAACTTGCATATAATATGATATTGATTCTACATTCAGCTTCGCAGCCAATACTCTGCATGTATGTAACCGTTTGCCATTGGCCGGAAGGGACTGCACAATTCTCCTTTATTTCCCCTTGATCTCCCACGATCTTTATACTATATTCAGCTTTTGCAACAAAAGTAAATCTACCCAATCAGATTTGCGAAAATGGGACCTAACTGTTAACTTTAACAAATCTGAGATATTGGTGAGTGAGTGAGTATGGTTTTACGCCGCTTTTAGCAATATTCCAGCAATATCACGGCGGGGAACACCAGAAATGGGCTTCACACATTGTACCCATGTCGGGAATCGAACCCGGGTTTTCGGCGTGACGAGCTAACGCTTTAACCACTAGGCTACCCCACCGCCCCCTGAGATATTGGTTTATCACAATTAAGGCAAACTGAGAAAAAAGGGAAATGTGTTTGTTTGGGAGACCAGGGCCCACTTGCACAAAGCGATCTGAGCGCTAAGATGATCGTAACTCCCATACTTTAACATAGGCTTACAATAGTCGTAGCGCTAAGATCGCTTTGTGCACGTGGGCCCAGGTCGAAAGTGCTTATGTATTATAAAAAAATGGGTTTGCTATTTTCTGATATATTTTCTTGGTCAAAGTCATTTCAAAATCAAGTAAAAATGGCAATTAAGGTTTTATATAGTTTTTTTTATAAAAACAGTTCTTCTCTAGTTTTGATTGTTTGGTAACACTGAGGGGCCAAAGTAGAACAGTTTCATGTTAGAGTTTGCAAATATGTATTTGTTATTAGTTATAACTGTTCAAATGCTGATACTCTGTAACAAAGTGTGTAAGATGTCATATTATTTGTTAAGAGTTCCTACCTACTGGGTCAAGTCATCAGAACTGCCCAGCGTTAGGTAGCCTCAACCAAAACATAATTTGGGTTATGTAATCTTCAACGTGTTGGACGAACAACTTGAGTTTCACATGACATTGTTTTTGTATGGGAAGCTCAAAGAGTGGGAAATTAGGATGCATTTATTTATGAATTTAAGTAACGATTAAGAGATGGTAATACTAAGTCAAGTTTAACAGTAGTGATATCCACAGCAGTCCATCTCGTGACATATATACGAATAAAAAAATATTTTGCATACAACCCTAGCTGTTAAATGTTAAATAAAAATAAACTAGGCATAGAATCTTCTTTTTTTAAAGAATTGCGTCATTGCCTGGTAACAGAAATATAGACAAAATGGAATGTGCACCGCGTCATGTAAGAATTTGTAATATTTGTAAAAAAGATGGCCAAAAATTAGAGGCCCGGCTTCTATTTTGTGCACTGAATAATTGACCCGGCTTCTATTAGAGACCCGGCGCCTAATAGAGGAAATACGGTACTTTAGCTGTGGATGTTTGCAAGGCTTGCCCCTTGAAAGAATCGCCAACATTTGTGAAAATGGTAATTCGAACGGGTTTCTTCGTAAACAGATAACGCCTTCCCATAATCGCCATTGTCTGCTGTCAATAAGAATTGTTTATCCCCTGCAGAAAATACTTTAGCTCCGTCACGGCAGGGATTCCCTACACAAACAAGCACGGATACATTTTGGATAGTAGGGGTGCATTGTTACAACCCTTAATGTAAAAAAATACATAAAGGGTTACGTGTTAACTCTTAATGTAAAACAAATACATTAAGAGTAGCGGCCGCAACCCTTAATGTAAAAACATATTTTTTTTACATTAAGGGTTATTATCTTACATATCGCCCCTTATTGTTAGATTATCTTATAAGCGAAGATTGATTGGATATTTACATTATCCGTTATGATATTGATAATATTTAAACCGCATCACGAACTGAGCTTAATGAAGCTAAATCTTACCGACTGTGTAAAATACACGATACATTTATTTCAGTCGGACTCGTTACAGATATTCATGTTTTATATCTGGTGTTTTCACAATCTTTCTAAAACAGCAGCTAATGTATACACATCTTATTACATCATTCAATATGAAAGTGTAGTGGGCGTT